CGGGAGAAGCTCGGCTGTTGCGATGCACACGGTCACACAACAAAATGGGACAAAGTGACAGACCTGAAAGCAAACTTGTCAGCGTTTGAAAAAAGGTTGGCAGCTGAAATTTTGTCCACCAAACAAGCACTGAACACGTGAAACACCCACTCGAGAGATGTGAGAAGTCCCACTACCCATATGACAAATGAACAGGAACAGATATAGCCATAAAAGCAGGGATGCAGAAGATATGGAATTGCCTTTCAGAAGAATACGGGAAAGAAACTCTCTGAAACATAAGCCAGTAAACAATACGGTCTCACTATGTGAAATATCCAACACGAGTCAGCATGAAATTATGAACCACTGTGAATTGAATTTTCATTTTGTTATTTTCAAATGTCTTTGTTTGCATCCCTGTCACTCTAAAATTTTGACTTACCTGCACCATATCGAGCCTCCAAACACTTCCTTCTAAAAGACTGTCCATCGATAAGATATTTGACTCCACTGTCTTGAAACCGGATACCATACAAGCTGACTGTCTTCGACGTTCGAACCTTCGTGCAGGTCGGACAACAACTAGGTTTGGTTAGGATTCTGGTAACCCTTACCGTTGACGTATTCTGTACCTCAGGGACTCGCATACGAGTCCTTCAAATACGTTCGCCAACTGTTACCTGAAAGGTATGCTTATCGTGCGCTCATCTACTGTTGATAGCTTAGCTGGTGTCGCAACAAATGGCACAACCGAAGCTGTGCTACTCGACTAAATCCCTATGAACACTATGGTGTAGGACTGAGGTTCGATTAAAGTGAGAAAGTACCTCTTCGTTGTCGCTGTCCACACTCTGACTGACTGTAGAATGGGTGCAGTTGAAGTTGAGTTCTACCACCAATTGAATGATCTCAGTAAACCTCGTGTGGCAGATATCATAGTGCTAGGTAGAGACTTGAATACACAGACCAGGTGTCTTGACTCTGAAAAGTCGTTTGGGTGTCCCATAGAGGTTAGCAAGTTGCAGGTCCGATGATGATGAGAACAATCTATTGAAGCCTTGTGAAACACGAAACTTTCTTCTAGCAAGCACCAACTTATGACGGCTATCACCGCTGTTCTGTCCTACATTTGACTCTCCAGCTTGGTGTGCGCGAATAGTATTGTCCTGCTTGTTGAAGGCCCTGGCAAAACATGTGGTCTTCTGAACGCTTTTAGCATAAATCTGTGTATGTTTGACATGCATTTTGCATCTGTCAAATGTAATATGATGCTTCAGGACTGTTCTGCGACTACTTCCAGTTTGAGGATAGAGAGTGAACTGGCTACATGCGTTGACCACTTCACGTGCTTGGGGAGTTGCACCAGTCCAAATCGGTTGGTTGCTTACAAAATCTCAGCTCGGATACAACATGTCCGTTTTGTACTTGCCGACTTGTGTGTCCTCTAGCACCAATTGACGAGATGTTCGACTACTTATTAAAGAACGAGTCTACTAAATTCCCTTCTATCCTGTTATGCAACAATGAGACGGCCACTGGAAGTAGACGACATGAAGAGATCGAAGTTTCTCGATCATACGTGTCTTCATAGCACTGCTCGCTTATGGTGGAACCACTATGTCAGCAATGTCGAAGTTAGACGAGGGGTATCAGGCAAATCGGTTGGGAACCTTCAGCGACTGAGATGACTTAGACATATGTTGCGCATATTGAGCCACTCCTTACCTCGATCTGCAATGCTAGCAGAATGTACAATAGTTCGGATGAAGAGCCAGAGCATGACTTGGCACCAGTCTTTGGATGTTAGTCTGAGCCATATAGGGAAGCGTGGACTGTCTGTTTGAAGTCCTCGAGAACATAAAGGGCCCAAAATTTCCGGTGGAAGTTGGTCAGAATAACGTAGATATATTCACTTTTCGATACATTCGAAAGTCTGTTTTTCCTCATTTTTAGTCTTTAAAATTCTCTCCCTTCCTGTACATCCTTGCCTAATTTGATATAACTTTCTCGACCTATTTATTCTCTGCATGTTACCGTGAGGTGTGGCAGTTTAAGCCACTGCACTTCTGAGGCCGTCTACGGTGATTTTGTATGGTTTTCTGATATGTATTTTGCAAGTTTCTGTTAGAGTGGTGTATCCGTCAGAAATTTGCTAGCACCATGAAAGCCATCAAGGGAATCACTTCCAGTAGTGAGAGCACAAAGCCAACTCTGGACATCGTCCCAAACCAATCGTGGGGTCAGACATGGCTGCATGATTTCCCCATTCTTCTACAACTTTCTCATGAATGCTATTTCTGGGGGTTCAGCTCTGACAGTGCGTTTAGACCTATTATTAGGTGTGACGTTTTGAGCTCAACATGAGGACGGCGTCGTGTTACTATGTGACAACATAGACTGCTCAATTCGCACCTAATCAGTTAACGACCAGTGAACGTGTACTGTACTTCTAGAGAATCGACAGTAACCTGTACCTACAGTGACCCCAGCTGGCGAACCATTGGTATTTTTTTCAAATGTCAATGTACATGGTTAGTTCTGTGAGTTTCGGTGGAGGTGTGGCTGACGAGATTTACAACCTCGCTATGGATAACACAATGATTCCACCACGGGTGAGCAGTGCTTCGAAAATACCTCTGACCAAAAACATGTGATCTCTTCATATTTTTTTACTGGCCATGTCTTACGGGCGTATTATAATATCAGAGAGCGAACTGCTCCGCAGTGTGCTTGTTTTTCAGTAGGTTGTCACGTATCTTGACGCCACCAGAAGTTGGACGAGTTGGAAAATGCTGAAAGGGCCTTTTGCGTCTGAGATGAAATCCCACCTACAACTAGCCCGATTGGGATAGTGCAACTGCCCGCCCAAGTAAAGTGACCAGTGCATCCTACCGCTCCATTCTATATCCTTGAACTAATAGTTGGTACAGACCAGTCTGAATGCACCGTCCTTCATTTGACAGGTGCAAAACGAATGCTTGGCACACTCAGATTCGTATTCGGAAGTCTGAATTTTGTCAGCGGCGTCGCTGAACAAGACTGTCTTCCCAAACTCCAATCTTACCAGATGGTCGCCTGCGTGGACCGACTCTGCTGCGCGATATCTGACTGTCGAGAGCAAGAGGCTGGATTTTCTCCCCTGCTGTATGGCTTTAACAGCTGGAGAGCAATAAAAGTCTTCATTTGTTTGACCACGCTTGCCTTCGTATAATATACCGCGTGTCAATCTTTTGGGAAGAGAGAAAAGTTTCTTATGATCTTCAGTTTTCTGAGATGTGTCATGCATGCCTACTCGCCGTTTGCGTCATCGCACAATGTTAGGTGGTACGTGCCCAGGCTAGGAGTATTCTCCGAGTGGGCATACTGAGACATGAAGTCTTCGACGGTTGGTCTGAGCCATGTTAACTTTCTGGCTGGGATCTGCGTGACATAAAGTACAGACGATGTGATATAGCTGAGAATCGATGCACCCATACTTTATCTTCCTCTTGAAAGCTGTACAGCATCCAGCATTTCCTCATTTTTCCATTTACTGCTTACTACTTTCTTCATTCTCTCAGCTTACTGCTTTTACTTGTTGTGTTGTTATGAGTTGTGGTATCTGGTGTCGTTACGAAATACTGCCTGGTCCTACGTTGATACTGATTTCACAAGAAAATGCGTGACCTCAGCGGCGTAGATTTGCTACTAGAAAAATAAAACCCAACACTGTTCAGATGACGGCTGTACCGCGTAACAAGGGAATTGGTGAAACTTACGAATACCAATTGGAGTACAACAAATCGAATTCCTAAATATTAAAGAGATCTAAGCTGATATCAAGCATCGCAAAGGTTGCACTGACGCCACATACTTGATGCTTTGATTACGGCAGTTCCGATCCATTCTTGCTAAAAGCGGCTTTTTGTGATTGAGGGTGCCCAATCACCAGTCGTCGCAGAACTCCTTTCCACTAGGTACCTTGTGCTGGAGTGGTATCAAAATCCACACTAGCGCAGGAAATGACGTTGACCTCTGATGTATGCACAGCGAAATATGGGCATCTGGCTAACTGGAATCCCAACCACACCTTGGTATTTTAGTGAAGGAAATTCATAGGCCCTAAAGAGGAACACTGTTTTAGTTTTACCGAACTCAGACTTTATGTATCGACATACTGAGTTAGAGATAACAGACTGGACCCCGTTATCGAACTAAACACTGAGAAACAAGGACCATCGGAAGGATACGAATCCTCATCAATGCCCACAATTTGTGATGCTACTTGTTTGCGAAGTTGAGATGAATTCGCAGACGTGACAAAGCCCCTGGCAAAAGTTGTCCAAGAATAAAACAGCCATCGTCCGCATGAGAAACTAACTGGAAATACCGACCATTTCTGAGTTAATAGAAATGAACTGCCTGTGCCATGAATTGTTTTAGTCGCCTTCGTCCTACAGCTATGAACTACACTTTCGCTGTGCGTAACTGTAGGCGAAAATAAGCATTAGATGTGTGGACTTGACAAACTATTGGGATAAAGTTGTCATATTACGATTGAACTGGCTGTCCAATATGCCTTTGGTACTGATAACAATCATACTTTAGTCACTTGCATGGCAAGACATAGTTTCACTCACACAACCTAACCGAAAAAAACAGCAATATCCTACCCTCACCCATATGACAATGAAATAAAACAATTCTACTTACCCCTATTCCCTAGGACAAAAACCTACCTTTAGAAATCAATATGGATTCACTGGTAGTTCTATGATCCAGTTGAGCTACGATATATGCTCGTGTATATGGAGTGCAAGACAATGTGATGACTTGTTCACACCTGGATAGGTTCCTATGTTTAATCGTAAAAACAGTGCTCACCTTGCTATCCACAACAGAATTTTCCACTGAAATGCCAGTCAGTGTACATCGGCGGTTCCATAAGAATGGACGAATTAACATACAAAGACCTACCAGCAGACATACTTCATTAGTTTGACTTACATCGTTTCCAGAACACTTTAAAAGAAAACAAGAAACGCAAAGTAAGTTTGTTTACGAATAACATTGTGCAAGTTAAATGTACAACACATGATCAATAGTCAGTTAAAGCTCAGATCACAAGCTTTGCATTAAAGTACGAACGACTGACTTGCATCAAAACCGCAACTGAGGCATTCCCGTCCACTGCGCAAGTTGAGCTGGGGTAGGTGTGATCTGCGGCTGAATTGCGGGCATACCGAAAACTAGAATCAAAACAGAAAAAGATAGTTTAAAGAATTGGAAAGCATAAGAATTTTATATGAGAACAAAAGTGGATTGCTTCAGATCTGAAATTTAACTGCATTAAGTTTATTAACTCTCCGACGGGACGCCACAAAGCCAATAACCTTCTATGAGACTTATCGAGGCATGGTTAAACTTTGCTAACAGGCGAAGGTTAGAAGACTAACCGAAATGTGAACCTCTTGGGAGTCGTGGGTTTGCCGGAATCAGTACGTGAACCACGCTTGTGACAAACGTATCAAGTGACTGTATACCGTTAGACAGACAAAAAACAATATGCTAGCTGAAGGAATTTCTTGTAAACTCCAAGGAAACCTGCAGTTTTTCTACTACAGTGCGTTAGGGACATAGTGTGAAGAAACAAGGAATCTGGTAACATCAACGACACTTCGTAAATCTTTACTTATTTGTAGCATGAGCACAGACTATAACCATTCCGCCATCCCAATTCGTAAACCAGTGGCAACCATTTAAGTGAATAGTTGCACGTGAGCGTGAAAACTAAAAAGTCGACAATCAGTGCTGGATAAGTTGCCAAAATGAAAACACCGCAGTTCTTCATCCATATCTTAATGAGCGACTCTTGCAAGCTCACTATCCGGAAAATTTCCACGAGCAGAAGAGAAAACCTCCAATGAATGTAGTGTTTTTTCGCATGAAATATTCAATCGGGTAATCCTGTTGTAAAGACAAAGGGATAAAGTCAACATCGGAATTGACATAACACCACGTTGGTCTAAATTGTTACACTATGCCAGTGCATCAAGCAGTGCCACAATAAGATCAAAAACAAAGCAGTGAAAAGATAAAATACTAGATTTAGTATGGTGATTAGGATGAAGGCATTGCGTCAATGCATCGACGCCACTGAAATCTGAACCGTGTCACTTGGGTCTCTACTCACTGGTTTCTGTCGTCATGAAAACTTCCATTATGAATCTTATATTTGCCTACACGGTTCGGACCAAGTCATACCATGTTGTACGCCAGTAACATACGTCTCACCCTGAAACACCAGCCAACATTATGCGACGAGGCATGCGTAACTCACATCTCGACCACCTGGGTCGATGAAGCTTCAAAGCCCCTGACTAACTTCCCTTGCCTCCACAGAACTCTGTACCTTACCTGTCATTAACGCAGTGATATCTTACATGGCCTATGCAGAAGACAGTGGTAAAAATCTGAAGCTTTCTCACGTCCTCTACTTTCATAGGCCATGTTTCACAACCTGATGGTAGGACACCATGAACTATGGCGTCGTGCGGTCGACCTTTGTATCAATGTTGAGATTTCGTCAGCCACCAAGATTGATTTTCCGTCATAGGTCGAAGCACTCGACTGTCCCACTCTAAATTTTTAGGCAAGGCATCACTCGAGACCAGTTCTTGAACTGCAACTTGGTCACTGGAAACGCGTCCAAAGCATTATCTAGTTGACAATTAACGTATCCCGAAGACTATACGTCTTGTCAGACTATTTCATCTACATACTCTAAATCCAGTGACAAGAACGAACTACGAGAGGCGCCATCAGACAGAAACAACTGACCTGAAAACTCACCAGGCTTTAACACGCTCACAGGCATTTGAATAGTCTTTAACAAAGTGATGTACATACTCTGCACCCGTTTCAGTGAGCCATAAAATTTCTCGATCAACGAAATCGAATGCTATTCTAAGGTCGACAGAGTGTCCAGCATCGGCAAATGTGCCTGAGTTGCAGAACTCAGCGGAGTTAATATCCGGTCGACACATCACGTCTGAAACCTGCCTATTTCCTAGAATACGCTGTACCCAAACTTCAATGTTGTGAAGAACCGTCCCGCGCTGTTCACTAACCGCAGAAAGCACTTAGGGCATAGAGAAATGTTCACTATCGGGTATGGAGGTGAATAAATGTAAAGGTCGCGAAACCAACGAAAGGAAACCAGCACAATGAAGACTGACAGAAAACGGACAATGAAAGGATAAAAACTACGTTGTAAAGTATGGCTTATTATACGGCTTGCTTCAGCACAACGCATAACATAAGCTGAACCATGCAGTAGCTACTGGATACCAACGCTCCCGAAACGACTTACAATACGGACCAGCTGGCTCTCCGGTAGGTTGATAACTATCAGATGCGGTGGTTTCTGTAGCTGGCTGGCATTACTTGGAAGCGTTTTCAGGATTACTATCACAATGTAGGACTTCCTGCGCAGTCAGTCTCAGCCTGGGTGCGAGCAGCCCAAGCATAACACAACCAGCGGGTTGAGAATTCACGCAACCCACAGGGGTTTTAGATAGTCGCGCAGTTATACCAGGACAGCAGGCATGGCTGATTATCTAGTGCACGAGCATGTACTTAGGTTATGAGCTTCGACTTGATATTAAGACAGACAAAACCAACATAGAACGCATCCAGTCAAGTTGCTACATCTCATATTAGCGTACAAACACGTGGATAAGGAAAATGATTTCGAAAGTAAGGGTGGGAACGAACTTGATATTAGTCTTGATGAAAATATTCAAGGTTTGAAAGATGCCGAGTAACATATTTTCACATCTGACTTTCTGTGAATTGACAGCTTTTAGTGGAAACAATTTCCACTCAACATGAACTTCGTCCCATACAAAATTACAGCAGGCGTACATTATAACCTACGTTTGAGGTGCCTGGGAACCATTTGATCGCAATAGGGACAGACCAAGTTTCATACTACGGAGAGTCGATATTAGAACACCTCGCTACATGAAATAATCATAGCTAAACTGGTAATTGTGCTTTAGGGTGGGTAATGCCAACCAGCTACAAACTAATTGGAATCTTACCACTTAATGTAAGTTTTTACATTTGACAATAAAAGACATGTATTCCAAAGTAAAGCCAGTCTTAATGGGACATGACGCTGACTATGTTCAAAAGCACTCACCAGGCGGAGGAATGAATCCAGGAGCGTAACCAAATGGCACCTGTGTTGAAACTGGAGGAGCAGTCGCAGGATAGACAATTTGATGTTGAGGGATGAAACCCGGAGTGGTTATTCCTGATGTGATACCTATAGGTGGGTGCTGAGGTACTGCTTTTTGAGTTGCATTCTCTAAAATCCGCTTGTACACCGGCAACTCAGCTCTTAGTTCCTCCTACAACGATACATTGACACTATAAATCTACCTACCAGTGACAAATCATCATCAGGATGAACTAGTTCAATTGTTACACCGGCAGCTCCAGATGCTGGTTTCGGTACTTTGGACACATTCGCCTTTGCATTGGACACTGGAGATGAATACGCTGGGAAAGTGGCTTTTGGAGTTGTGGAGGGGGACTATACATTACAGATACATCAACGGAAGGTTACCTTCTCATCATTTGGAGTTGCTGGTTGGGGAGGTGCGGGAACTGCAGGAGGAGGAGGCGGTGGTGGTGGCACATAGGGGACCGAACTTAAAAGGTTAAAAATTGTAGCAAACATACCTCATATGCGGAGGAAGATGAACACCATGAACTAAATATACGGATTACAGCAAAATATCAACTTACGTCCAAGGTGGCTGAAATGAGCTACCGGTGGACACATAGGCATGAATGGTAGTGCTGGGTGTATGGGTGGTGGGGGATAGAACGGAGTACTCTCATCCTCCCTAACCATTTTTTCGGTGGTTCTTCTTCGCCTTCCAAACCAACTTTTGCCTTTCATGTTCTATAATGTCCACTTCTGGGATACCTGACATCCCGTATATGTCAATGACAGTACTTGTTCTGTTTGGTAATGCATTTGGAATTTTGTCCAACTTTTCTTTGTGCACCTAGGAGCATACCTCATTGTGCACTAAGATTTACCTGGTTGCAGTGGATTGACAATCCTGGTCCAGTAAATAGTTTTCTGTGACAATACGGACACTTGAAGTGTTTCGCCTTCTGATGCTGGATCAAGATTTTCTCATCATCAAACTCTCGGTTGCAGTACCTACAAGTTATACCTTTAATGCGCTTCACCTACCAGCACCACGGTTTGAGCTGCTTCCTCTTCTTACGCCCCATTGCCAACGCAACCAGTTTCTGAAACACCCACAGTTGCACCGGATACAAGTCCTTTGAAACACGTCCAATAGCCAATATCCAATATTTGTTTTAACCAGGTGACTTTTTTGCACTCATTCCTGAGTATTATGAAACAGTTCTGGGCCTCTCTTGCATTTGAATTCATTGTCTAGTATATGTAATATCATTTTATTAGCTACTGTGAACCAGTTGATTATTTTGCTCTCGCTTCTAGGTCTTACAGAACGGTTCCAGGTCTTTGGAAGATTTTGATATCCATTCACCCGCTATACCTCTGGTTAGTCTGACAGGTGGTTGAGAATTGATTAACTTTGTAGGGCTTGTATGACTTTTTCAAGGAATGTGGTTCAGATAAGGTCCTCAAGTGTCGTGTCACCATACAGTTAGTGAACGGGCTGTTGATGTGAATAGAAAGGCTGTCCAGGGAAAGAAATTATGAAGAACAAGAAAAAAGATGAAGGAGTAGGGAAAGGAGGGAGGGGGAAACCCTAGTGGATTCTTGGAAGATAAGTGATGAGGAAAACAAATAAGGTGGGGTCATAGAGTTAGAGGGGAAAGAAGAACTAAGTAAGGTTATTGAACCGGTTTTCGGAAAAGAGGCACCGACGCTTTTGGAGGAGGATGTTAGTTGGGGGAGATATCTAACAGGGAAGCGCCAGGATAAGTCAAGTTCGCTATTATAGTACAGACACAAATTCGGTGTAGGGTTGAGTGCGCTAGGTTGTGAGGAGTTCCATCAACCTAGTCAGCATCCCAGCTGGATGAGTGCAACCCATGCACCACTGCGTAGCTGCGCAACCTCTTATTGAAGGTGCCAACGGATGCAGCAGTTGCGATCTTGGCAGGCAAAGCGTTCCGGTGGCTGCAAACTAGGAAAGAGAAAAAATATGGACACCCATGGGTTTTCGTCGTTTGGTGGTCGATTCTCCTTGCGTTACCACGAGGACTGCCATTGTGGCCCTTCTGTATGATTCCACCGTTCGGATGACTTGGATTGCTTGGTATTTTGTGAGCCGTTATCGATTCGCTACGTAACCTACGTTAGCTGAGGCAGTAAAGCCCTAGCTCTTTCAGCCTATGCTCATAGGGTTTTGCCTCATCCTCACAACACCCTTTGCTATTCGCCTCTGAGTTTTCTCCGGGGGATTCATAACTCTTTTCAGGTACGGTGGTACACTGAGGTTGTGTGTAGGTCTCGGATGGCTTCAGGAAGAGTTCCGGAGTGGGAGTACCTATTTGACTACACATGAAGTGCGGCACTCCGTGGGCTCCGAAGACGTCTCCCGGGTAATTCCAGCTAGTGTCTAGCTTATCAGTTGGTATTAGTCCCGCGTCCTTCTCCACTGTGGTGTGGGAGAGTGGCATACAACAGAGAGAGCAGGATACTTTCTGAGAAGGATGCGGAGAAACATGGCTTGGCATTAGGCCAGGTCAAATGCTAGTCAAGCACTATTCGCCTATCCCGCAAGCAATGTGAGATCATTTTGAAGTGCACCTGATTCTGCCTCGAACATTACAGATCTGCATAGCCCAACACCTCCAGCGTAAAGTAAAACCCCGGAGCCGAGACTCAGTGGGGGGCCATTCACAAAAAGACGAAATTTCAGCGGACCAAGAACCTCCTCTTGTGATACACTTGGTGATCATATCCCCGAAGTCAAACAGACACTGTTGAATTTCATACAGAGTTCTCCGCCATTTAAATAGTTCTACAGCTAGGAGAGTCCTTGGCCATGGATGCCCAACCCTGATGTTTTGCGAATGAGAGTGGTTTATGAGGCTATGTTAAAAACCTTGGCAAAATCCAGGGAAATCACATGAACAGGGACTAGAAGGTGGCGGCATGCCATCCAGTTATCACCAGAAGGTTCGAGGCCCAGGATCCGCCCTCTTGGAGACCTTATTGAACATCAATTAGTGCCTCCGTCTTGCCCAAGTACTCTATGACAGCCGTCTACCATTACTTTCAGCACGAATGGTAAAAGTACCACAGGTCGGTAACATCTCTGGTTCTGCTAGCCTCCGTCCGTGAAGATAGGAGAATAGCACGTTTCCACCCTAGAGAAAGCGTATGCTGGCCTAGGGAATGTTGAAAAGGGTTACGGGGTGGACCAAATAAAGTGCCCGCACACTATTTTACCACAGACGACCGAATGCTATCGCACTCTGGTGATTTCCCCACTCGGAACTCCGTTAGTTTTTGAGAACCATGGCAGGGGTTACTTTATTTCGGGCAACCCAACCACATTAAGTAGTGTTGAAGGTTGATCAGGCGGTTGGTAGTTTCTGTGGGATGATGGCATGTTTAGTTGTGTGTCGAGGGCAGCACTAAAATCTTCGGTGATTTCCGATCCAGGGAGGTCCTCTCCGTTCTGGCCTTCCATAATGCAATCCCCACAGGCTTGTGGGTTTCCTCCACCGTAAAAAGGTATAGGCTTTTGGGGTTCGTGTCCAGCTTCTAGACATGGTTTGTCTGAAATGACCTCCTGTCCTCCCTCATTTGATGTCACAACGATTTCTTAGAGCCATTCATGCACCGTAATCTGACTCTTTTCTGGAGATTCCTTAGTTATGTTATGCTTTCCTCTTTGCTTTCAAAAGGCATTCGGTACTTCGTTTTAATTGTGAGGTTCGCTCCTTCAGCACTATTGTGACCATTATGATGTTCTCAGGGACAGTCCTCCTAATAACATCCCTTACTGATTCCCAATGTTGATCAACCGACGAAGTACTTCACTACTGAGGCCATGGTGCTGTCAACGGATTTTGGTTCATCGCCATACAGTCTGCCTTGATGTAGCATACAGAAGGGCAAGATCTCTTCCACGGTAGTTGATCACTGAAAACTAGATTGAAAACTGGCACACCATGATCAGAGCTGTTGAGGGGGTTTTAACCCGAAGTTTTTCCGGCTGCAGATGGTCGCTGGCACGCTTATTGAAAAAACGTGTAATCCTAACGTGGTTTAGCAGTTTAGGTTTTGCTGCATATAACGCATCAATAGCTCTGGTTTTCAGCGAGAGCATTCTCTGGAGCTTCCAGTTCGATAATTTTGCTCTGCTTTTACGTATCTTGCTGTTCGTACCAGGATAACGAGGCTTTACTCCTGTTCCACTGTCAAGGTTACTACTCCTTTTCAAGCTTTTCCAGGGCTTTACTGTTGATCTTTTTATCCTTTTTACGACAGTGGTGGTCAAGTAGATGTACGAAGGGCAAGGCTGTCACCAACCTGTTCAAGCGGGTGGGCAATATGACACGTGTGATGGGTGGTACCGAACAAGGATGCCCAAGATGGAGAATGGGCATCCATTGTATGAAACATGAACAGCCAAACTTCAACTCCAGCCAAACCCATAGGGTCTGGAAGCCGGGAAACACAGGGAGTAAGCCTAAGCAGAGTAATCTGGAAGTTAGGAAGGCTAAACCTGTGTCTGCAAGGAAGTGGAATGGATAACAGACTACGTGAGTGGCTCACGAGCTTGTCAAACAAGCAAATGTGTTGTCCACGAAAGACGGCAAAGAAGGAGAAAATGCGAAATCCCCAAAAAAACGTCCAGGCGTCCACAGCTGACAAGACAGATCACTATCCCGAATGATATTTTGATCATCATGAACCTGACAGACCGCTTTTATCCCCCATACAGCCTTCAGGACGAGCCTGATAGGGTTCTTTGGGAGAAAATATATAGAAAACTCAAGCTGTACCACATAAAACCAGTAGCTGCAACTAGGCTCTCTTGCGGTCCGGATCCAATGACTAAGGGCGAGCCTCGTCTTCTAAGGCTCATGTTCTCCAACCCAAATTATGTCTTGGACGTACTCTTAGCATCTCACGTGCTAAAAGCTGAAGAGGGGGTAAGGATACTGCCAGATATACCACACTCTAACAGAAAGGCTCTAAAGTATCTTTCGGTCGACAATCGCGGCGTCTACTTTAGAGGAACAAACCCAATAGTGCGGGGCATGCAAGAAAACCCAGGCGCCGAGGATATTAACCACAATTCAAGCGGAAGGAAGTTCCTCGATAATACTTTGAACTTAAAGGAGGTGATCATCGAAACGTCCCACGGAACACCAAAAAAGACGATGAATTCAGACTAAATCTGAAAAAGGTGGCCTTCCGCCCTTCAAATAAAGCACCGAAACAGGACGCTATCGCAGCGAACAGAAATGCCCGGATATTTGGAAGCAGAATGCCAAAAGGTGGGACACAAAAAGATAGGCTGACACAAAAACAGAAAAGAACACAAATATGAATAAATCTAAATTCGCAACATTCAATAGCAAACACGCAAATAGCCTGTCACAAGCATTAGTAAAGAGGGAAGGTTGGGCATAGGGCTAGCAACCCTACCCCGGAAAACAAATCCAACCGCTAAACAAACTTCAAAGCACAAACAAAGTATAAAAAATAAAAACAAACTTATCCCCCGCTGGAATCGGAGAGGCGAAATGACGCCGGTTGGTGAAAGCCTTCGGGAAGCCAATTGGCCGATGTGTCTTCGCCTCTCTCGATGAAAGTGAAAGTAAACGTGGGGACGTGGAATGTCCGCACAATGTTTGAACTCAGCGAGGCAGCCCAGATTGCAAACGAGATGAAAAGGTATCACATTGAGGTGCTAGGAATTTGCGAAAGCAGATGGAATGGGAGTGGACTCTCCAAACTGTCAACTGGAGAATCAATAATCTACTCCAATATTGTCATCCATACGACAACCACCAGCACACTGAGTTATGGAGTGGCTATCATGATGTTCCCAAGAGCATCGAAGGCTCTCATGCAGTGAGATCAATCTCCTCATGCAGGATCATGACAGCAAGGTTCAACTCAAAATGAAGGAAGGTCACAATCATATAATGCTGCGCTATGCTATGCACCTACAAATAGTTCAGATGAAGAGAAGAAGGAGGAATTCTACAGACAACTGCAATCAACACTGGACAAGACCCCATCTCAGCTGGCGACATCAAAATTCTAATTGGCGACACGAATGCCAGTCAAACTGGGAGCGGACAACACGGGAAGAGAACTCAT